TTTGGTCACCTACAAACAAGCAAGATTTCTGGCTCTCACAGACCTGTAACAACTTCTTTAAGAGGCTCCTCTGTCCTCCACTCGTTACCTGTATTAATGGCATCTGTTTGAACTCGTTATCAGTATAAAAGACATCTGTCCACAACCTCAAACAGTCACACTCCAAACTCCACCATGGCCAAGACCAAAGAGCTGTCAAAGGACACCAGAAACAAAATTGTAGACCTGCACCAGGCTGGGAAGACGACCTACACCAGGCTGAATCTGCAATAGGTAAGCAGCTTGGTGTGAAGAAATCAACTGTGGGAGCAATTATTAGAAAATGGAAGACATACAAGACCACTTATATATATATATATATATATATACTGTATATATATAAGCTACTGCAAAGCACATCTTGTGTGCATTCATGAAGTTTCTTCCATCACTCACAAATGTGATGCAACTTTGTGTGATTCCACATTGGATTATTTATAATGGATTTAAGTGTTAAAGATTAATATTGTGTTTCATTCTGAAAGGAACCTTGTGTATTGTCTTGCTGGAGGTCTGTGGGCAGTTGCACCAAGGTTGCATGGAGTCATGTTTGACACCAGTAATACGTCTTTCTGGCTGTCTGTCTGCCTCTCTCTGTGTAACATTTACTTCATTGGGCTGTTAGGAAGAGCTTCCACTCTCCTTGCGCGGGTTGGATGTAATTGGGAGCGCAACTGTATGTCAGTTACAGTTCAGTGTAACACTCAACCCTGCTCGCCTCATTAAAAGGCATGCGTGTGTGTGTGCGCGTCAGTCTCGTGTTTGTGTTGCTCAGCTCCCGTCTGCTGCAGCAAACATTCGTTCTCACCTGCTCATTAAAAATACATTACCACCCAAAACGTTTCGTCATCAGCTTTTTAAATAATTCTCATTCTTCCTGAGAGCTGTCGATGTCAAACAAGGTAATGGGGTTGTCCGGCACCTGGCACAGCTAGCGATTAGCTTGCCCATCAGCTTGTGAATGATCACCCTGCCTGAGTGAACCCCTAACCTTGAGCGTACTCGCCGTGGGTATTCATGAGCTTCCTGCTGGTCACTGTGAGCCAAACAACCTGTTGAATTAGTGCAGAAAAGACAGATACCGCAAAAGGAAAATATTCCACGAACATAGCCTCGGTAGATGGAAGACAATAGGCCTGAGGTTGTTGAAAGGGTAACACTTTTCAAATATGTTTCCTCTGGTTTTCTCATCTCAAATGGGAAGCTGTTTATCACAGTTCTGCATTCAATTTGATGTTGCATACAATCTCATACAGCATTGCGACTCATGCGTTATTGCCTCGGAAATACAACCTTGCACTTTAATTCACCTCCAAGTGGTAATATCAGGGGACTCATGAAAGTGGAAAAAAGAAATAATATCCCTCCAAACCCCACAGCAATTACTCTGAATTACGCCAAATTATGAACCTGCAATTCAGCTCTGAGGCTGAGGATTAATGTCAGACTCCCTCCACTTCATTGGTACATCTTAAATTGCCTTTCACATAACAACACGCGCTTTGACAGTTTGAGAAATTTACAACCTTCTGAATGGTGTAATTACTTTTCTTTGTTTCCCTCTCCTTCGCTTTCCATTTGTTTTCAGAAAAAAATATTTTTTCCCCGTTTTCTCATCGTAGCGTGTCACGCAGGGTAGAGGTTCAATTGATCTCCAGTAATGATTTGCCCTTGAGTTTGTCAATATTTAACCACTTTGTCCCTCAGAAAATCATAGACAGCCAGGCAGATAAATGTCACAACCTGCTGATATTTATCTTTTATAAATAGCACACTGTCCGAATGTTTGACGAGCGGGAGCAAGAACAGGGAACTCAGCTTCCTCCTTTCCATTTGCTTGACCTACAATTTCAGCTGCGCCGCCCAGAACGAGGGGCCTCTGCTTTACCTCAGACACACCGCCATTAATAACCGTTCAAAGCCACCGTCTGCAGTTCTTTGAAGGTGGGAGCCCACATATCTCCCACAGTGCCACAGACTGGTCGGAAATTTGCAGAGTGAGTCGAGTGGTGAGCTGTCCCTTCTGCCTCTGTTCATTACTCTTCGGTAATGGCTGTTCTCTGTTGGGGGTTGATGCTAAATTGGCTGTTAGAGGCCAGAAGCCCGCGCTAGTGGTGGCAAAATAGGAAAAGACAGCAGGAGAGACCTTGAATCACCCACTTTTTTATTTTTTCCCCACCTCCTTTTTTTGAAGAATGGGTGTCTTCTCTTCGATGCACCCATATCGGACCCCTTTTTTCCCCTCGGTCACCCACCCGCACACATGCGCGCACACCTGTCAGCCATTGACGCTTCACAAAAGAGGCATTTTCAATTCTGTCTGGGTCATTGATCAGAGGACGTGGTGTCCTGTCCAGATCCCACACAAAGAGACGAGAGGCCTGCATACGGTGGCAAAGGCTTGATCTCTCCTCTACAGGAAAACACAGATTTTAGCCTCCCATCATAAAATGATAGACTAGTGTCAAGCATCTGTTGTAGTTTAGCTCTGGCTTTTAGCTAATCAAGCAGTTCTCTTTTTTCCAGTTTCATTCAGCAGAAAGAAAGCTTTTCATGTGAATCATGCTCCCTGTTTATTGTCCTTCACAATCACTCTCACCACAAGCAATCATGCTCCTCAGATGTAAACATGCTCCTCAAAGAGCTTTGTTCAACCCAGGACAGAATGTACCTTTACTGAGCAAGTCTGCAAGTTTGTTGTATTAAAGTATGTATATGATTTTTTTTTAAATGTTTCCTTAATAGTTTTTTTTTATGGCAATGTGATATTCTTTGCTCACTTGTTATGCTAAGCGAGATATTTTTTTTTTAATTATTAAAAAGTTTAATTAATTAATAACCCACTTTGCTCAGAAATCTGAGGGGGCATGAAGCTTCTATTGGACATTATTTCTAAAGAAATGTCTATCTTGTCCAACAGCTCCTTTCTGCCGCCTGTCCTGTTGTGACATCATTAGATGTGACGTCTGTGATCCGCGCATCTGAGAGAAGCCTTGACACTTTGTGTCTGGCTGCGTTGTGTTCCAGTGATGCGAATCATCTTTGTGTAATGTGTTTATCTGTGAGGAAGTTGAGAGTTTGATATGTCACTCAGCTTTTTGCATGGCCGCCCACTCCCCACTGCGGTCTGCATTAATCCCCCCGCCAATGAAAAAGAGCGAAGTTCTGCAAGGTGAAACATGACAGGCCGCCACATTGTTGACAAATAACCTTTCCTTCCATTCCTGTCAAGCCCTCCGAATGACAGCTTTAGCTTTCAATGACTGGTGCGCTTTTGAAATGTCAATTTAGCATCTTGACACGTATTGACGACAGAGAGCTGACATTTTACAGGCCTTTCAGTTAGGAAAGAGAGTAATCCCACTTATCATAATGCCAGACATGCACACTGAACTTCTCATTTCTTCATTTCTAAAAAAGTGATGTTCTCAGGCATCCTCAGAGGGAATGAGCGAGAACAACTCATAACACATCTGACATGACGTCTCAGTCTTCATTTCTTCAAATGCCTCCATCAACAGTCCATGAAAATGCACAACTCTGCCTGTCAAGGAGCTCCAAAACTTCAAAATCACTCCCTCTTATTACATATGTTTGTTAAAGGAATAGTTCACTAGAAATTCAGTCAATTTACTCACTCATGTGTTTACAAACACAAGTCAGTGTGACTTATGTACTCTATTCCAAGTCTACTGAAACCATACAATATTTTTATGAGAGGAACAGACCTAAATTTAAGTCATGGGCCAAATAATGATGTCCTGATAGTGACTTTTAATGAGTTAAATGTAAATGTTCACAAAACTGATCTGATTGATTATTAGTGAATAATGACTTTTAACTGTGTAGTCACATGAGTCTTTTTTAAAATACTCTTAAGGTGTGTCATCGTAATTGCACAGACGACAATGAACTGTATTTAAAAAATATATTTTAGTGCTGTCAGACTATTAATTGCAATTAATCGCATCCAAAATAAATGTTTTTGTTTACATATGTGTGTACTGTTTATATTTATTATGTATATAAATACACAAATGCATGTATATATTTAAGATTTTTTTGTATATATATATATATATATATATATATATGTGTGTGTGTGTGTGTGTGTGTGTGTGTGTGTGTGTGTGTGTGTGTGTGTTAATAAATATATTTATATATAATATAAATTATATGAATATAAATATATACATGTAAATAATTTTGAAATATATACTGCATGTGTGTGTATTTATATATACATAATAAATATACACAGTACACACACATATATTATATAAACAAAAACTTTTATTTTGGATGCGATTAATCGTTTGACAGCACTGATATATTTATAATTTGTTCTCCACAAAAGAAAGAAAGTTAAATGGGTTTGAAACAACGTGAGGGTGTGTAAATGATGACCGAATTTTCATGTTTGGCTGAACTAATCCTTTAAGTCAAGCGCTTGTTTTGTAATCTAGGGCAGTGGAGCTGGTGGCCAGCTACATCTACAGTGAGTTTAGCCTCAGCCCAGTTGTGCTCTAGATATCAGAGATGATACCACTCTCTTTAATCACAGACTCTGGGGGAACACCACCTTGTCCTTTCCTCTGTTTGCCATCCTGCATCGTAGCTAAAAGAACCAAACCTCTCCCTTCCCCTCACCCATTTTAGCCACACAAGGTATGTCACGTAAATAAACAGTCTCATTAGCCTCATGAATGGAAGTACCACCATCAGTCTGTCTCAAAAACACAGTCCTTCTTTGGCTTTTTGCCTCTCACAGCTCTATTAGACCCCATTTAGCCATTCACCTCTCTTCCTCCCCACAACACGCAACTCTTGTCTGACTACATTGCGCCCCCTTTGCCCAACTCCGCCATTGTGAGTGGACGCAGCAAAGAGACATTGATGGACGTTGATGGACGTTCCCCATTGAGCGACTCAGGCCTTTCCTTTTGTAAAGCCTCTTTCAGGAGGAAAGGTTTACAAAATGAGCATTGAGGAAAGACAAGAAGGAGGGTGGATGTTCGATATGACAGGCCTCTCCGAGTGCTCCCAGCTTTCTGACAGGTGTGGGTGAAGGACATGTGAGGTAATCTAGAGTTTGACAGCGTGGATATAAGCACTGACACTCTGGGTGTCAGGACATTAGTGTTTCCGTTTCCTTGCACACACTGTCTCCCGCTCACACGCATACACTGCAGGTCAAATGTCTGCTGATGAACCAGCTCTGAAATACAAGCTCGGGCCCGAGATGTGCTGGTACAGATAAGCGCCACTTTCATTTTTTATTTTTTTTTTGGAATAGCTATCACTCAGCCCCATTAAGAGATAAATTGCACTGGCTGTAATTTCAAGTCTGCCCGTGAAATCCTAATCAAAAGGGCACTTAAAATATTTTTGCTGCACACGAGCATGACGGGCCACGTCCTATGAGTTACAGCAGGCAGGGTTGTCCGTCAGCGATCGCAATTCGGTGCCATAAAACCTGCATCTGTCCCATCCATCGTCTGGGACTGACATGTCCAGGCCTTCTCGCCAACTACTACATTCTCCCAGCCAGAGGAGATGGACAGGGGCTGGGTTACACTTCCCTTCTGCAATCACCAGAGGCGTGGATGGGCTTTTGAGAGGGGTCAGGCCTGGAGGTCAGAGATCGGGCTTAAGTCAGTGTTACTGGGCATGTAAAGGGTCTCTATGCAGAGTCCCTGGAGAGCGACGGACACGATGGGGCTAATAGAGCCTGCTGCATGACAAATGTCCATCTATGCTCTGGAATGGCACCTGTGTTGCAAACATATGGCAGCGAAATTGAGACGTATTGGAGAGCTGTCTCAGAGAACAGCCATAAAGTTGTCGCCCCACAGTTTTTTGGTGTTTGAGCGTGTGTGTGTGTGTGTGTGTGTATGCTGTAAAACTAAATACAGTATGTACCTTTCTCTCCTGATATTAAATGGAGATAAGTTGAGCAATTGCTGAAAATGCTGAGTATGTCAGATCAGCACACTTGATCGTCTCCTCCCACACTTCATTTACTCGCTCTTTATTTCATTCAACTTCTGCTAGCCAGGCGAGAAACAGCCAGAGTCTATAAAATAAAATTTTATATCTTGCCGTTGTATCGTGTGGCTTCAGGTCTTAACTCTTGACTTCTGAGATTAAAATGAAGCTGTGAAAACTTTTATTTTACTTTATAAATTCTGTTTCTGTACTGCATAATCCAGTTTTCTTAATCAGTCTTGCTTTCCGGTAAATATATATAAACATTCCTAAAACAAGATCAATTTACTGGAGTTTATTTTTCTTATCCCATTGTCAGTTTATTTTCTTGCTGTAAGCGTACACTAAATGTTGTTAGATTTATGCTTGAAAACAATTCGTCAGTGTTGCTTGATAATATTTTCATTATAATTAATGCAATAAAAACTCTTCCAGCTTCCTTTCTATTCCAAACTATTGCTGAGATGCAATCATTTGAATTTGGCTGTTATACACTATGTTATACACACTTCTTATTGTGTTAATTTATTCAAACATTAAATAATTACGATATCATTATAAAAGATTAGACAAAAATAAAGATAAAAACATAATTCTGTCACATTTTTTGCCCACTGTGTCTTTTACGTCAACTCTCAATGCCAGTACATGTCACATATATTCTCTGAAAACAGTTCTTAATATTTTATGCAAACCTTAAGTGCTTTGTTCTTGTTTTCTGCAAAACAAGACCTTTTTTTCTGACCAATACTGCTTAACCAGTACAGCATTCTGCCTGTTCAATATATAAGTATGAAACAAACCTATTGTACACCTATTGTAGATACTATTTTTATCAATAAGAAGCTTTGATCACACCACCCCTGTGAGCCACAGTGTGAGTTCTTTGGGCTAAAATTCTTTCACCTATCTTTGAAAGTGATCTTCCCCAGGCTCTGACCAATACTGCTTAACCAGTACAGCATTCTGCCTGTTCAATATATAAGTATGAAACAAACCTATTGTACACCTATTGTAGATACTATTTTTATCAATAAGAAGCTTTGATCACACCACCCCTGTGAGCCACAGTGTGAGTTCTTTAGGCTAAAATTCTTTCACCTATCTTTGAAAGTGATCTTCCCCAGGCCTAATGACACAGGAAGCATATAGAGTTGTGTTTACTTTTGGGGGCAAAAGTGAATTGAGTCCAGAAGAGCTCCTTTCCCACAACAATTGTATGTCTGACAGTTTGATTATCATGGGAGTGAGTGGTACCATGCGCCATCGGTTGCAGAGGAGGCTGGAAATTGAATTTTAACAGGCTCAACAGTCCCTCTTTCCTCTCCTTCCATTGTTTTTGATTTTGTTGTTGTGTTCTTTGAAGCCGGCAGCTGCAAAGTAGATAGGACCCAATGGAACGTGTACACCTAGACTATGGAAATGTACGCAAGCACTCCCCCGAGGACGTTATGAGAATCCAATCTGAAAGCTGTCTGTGCACTTTCACTGCCTCTGGGTTTCAGGTACTTGCTTTGTTTTGGTCAAAGAATAGATCAATCCTTTTTTTGGGTTACAGCCCATCCTGAGGTTTTGTGTTTGTGTGGATGACTTTTAGGGGAGATACAGAACATGTGTACAGACCTCAGACAAAAGCTAGAAGCTAGATGTGTTGTGATTCCCAACAGATTTGCACCCATGTACCTGTGTGTTGCCTTAAGCAATCCACACCACACCTGTCTTCTTCTTTCAGCTTCTCAGCAAACCTTTCTTACTCTCCTGCATTCTCTCAGCACATCACATTTTTACTTGAAGAGAGCACACTGTATCCCAGTATACTGCGGGGGTGGTCAGAACATCCTCTTTGATTCATGATCAGCCAGACACACCTGAACCGCCGGGCTAGAATCACATCATCATTAGGGATGCGCTGTTTGACAAAAATCGTATACATCACGCTAACGGTATCACAATAGTCTTATTTTTGCAGGAATTTCAACCTTGTGAATCTGACTAGGTACGTCTGAAACCATTGGAAAATGTATGCATGCTTGCACACCTGTGACCGTACATCTGTTGAATTTTGTAATAATGTGGCAGGTTCCAATGTTGCTTGGCAAACTTGAACAATCTACAGCAAGGGTTTTCAAACTTTTGTATACATTTTCCTGTATAGTTTTTATACTTTTTACGGTGTGAGAAAAAATATTAAGAATATTTTCAAACTGGTAATATATTTTTTATTATTATTTTGACAAAGCAATAAAGCCGAAATAAATTCTGAAAATATTATTTGGAAAATATTTACTTTGTACCATGTTGACAGTTGACTTTTTACCCAATAATAATGTAAGATTTATAGGGGTTTTTTTATACTTTTTTGTGTTTGTGTGTTGTTGAGTTTTGGGTTGGATTACAGATTTCACAGAGGTTAACACAACACAATAGCAACTTTTGGGTTTTCAGACTTAGAAAAAAGTGAAGGCGCAAACAGACAGTAAGGCTAGAGCCCTTGTCATAAGTTATGCTTATAACCTACTGTACTATAATCTGCTAGCATAAGTGTCTTCAAGCCTGTAGATGTTTCAAAGAGAGGAACAGGAGATGAGAGTGAATGAAACAGACACATACAAGAAGCTCTAGAAAAGGTCAAAGATGCCACAAAATGGCCCTGTCACACCAAATCTGCCAAAAGCTTCTCAACTGCCCTGCACACTCGCTTACTCGCTGTTTGTCATTCTGCTTAGCTCTTACAGCAACCCTGCTGTATCAAGCTGCCATCAAAGACAGCCATATGAGTAACACAGCAGAGCGCAGTAAGTTGAGCAATGGTTTTGTCTTTCTGAAAAGGCTGCTTCGCATACATATCATTGTGTTTCATCTTATCTGTGTTCAAGGAAAAAGGATTTTTTGGCCTCAAGTTACAGCACGTAATCTCTTGCTCTCTCTTTCAATTTCTCATTCTAGATTTGACTCACCAGAGGTTTAAAGAAGGACATGATCCCTTGCAATGTGACAAATGCTGCTTAATTCGAAATCGACATAGCTAGCTGTAGGCTAATGCTAAGTACACAGCTTAATCGGTCCTTAAAACCTCCCCTTTTTCTCACCTCTGTGCTACGACCAGAGAAGTTCATGTGTTAAGGAGCTTGCAAAGGTGCTTTTAAGGCTCTGATTATGTGCCTCTGCAATGAGACCTGTTAAGTCTGATTCACTGTGTGAAACCTTTAGGAGAGAGAAGGACAGAAAGAAGACAATGACAAAGATGCTAAGAAAAAGGGTAAATAATGAGTAAGCATACACTGTGTCACTAGTTTTGTCTACGCCACTTCCTGTACAGTTACATTAGAGCAAATGAATGATCAGAACTAGACTTTAAGATTGAAAGAAGGCATTTTTCCTGGTATTTTTATTAAAAAGAAAGTAATTTCAGTCTTATGCTTAAATGTGTATGTGTGCGTGCATATGTGTCGTTGTCATTATATACTTACTTTGACAGCTGGTGGGGGTGGGTACTAAATAGTTAAAAGTCATCATCATCCTATTGTAATATGTCCCAGATGTTCTTTGGCAAAAGTACATTCATCCAGCCACGATTAATTACCTAGGACAACTGCTTACATATGCACAGCGTTATTTGCCATTGGTTAACCCAGTTCCATTTGATTTGTGTTCAGAGTACAATCACACACCATCCTGCCAAGCCCAGCCAGTTGTCAAGAGCCTTTAGATGTTTGGTTATTTTATCTATGATCTCCAACACTAGTTTAGGAACAGGGAACAGTCAATCCACGCAAACAAAACACACAGCAACTGTGAGATGCCACTCAGTACAGGCTTATTTAAGTGCTTAGGATCATTCAGTACTGACACTTTGTCCTTTGTCACTTTTATAACTTGCAAATGTTCACTGAAGAACACACTGTAGGCAACATTGAAAAAATAGGCTCCTTGAGAATAACAATAGCCCCTATTTGAATTTTCCTTCACATAGAGGTTATGATGGTTTTTATTCGTCTGTTCTTCTCTTTCTGCCTCCATAATGTGATGTGAAGTGGAAACCTACATTTTAACATAATTTAGGCCAGTTTCTATAAGTTA